TCATTAAGTTTAGTTCCAGTTGTAAGTTGTATTAATTTTTATATTGCTTTATAAACAGAACTAAATCCATAAGGCAGTGCCGTATTCAAATACAATGACTATTTACAACACTCCTACTGTGTCACAATTTTCATCCTACTGAACACCTTGCCACTTTAATAAAAGACAACTTGTTCCTACTATCACCTATTTAAAAAAAAAGTTAGTACTACATCATATATCCATGTATCTAACAGTATGTGTTTTTTTGGTTTCTCTATATGCATTTATACCCACATAAATGTAAAAAGATGTAACCAAAAATATCTCCATAAATGTCATTATTAACATTACAGATCAAGAAACCTACTTTTCCCCCAAAATTTTTGTGCAAGATGGCACATATTGGAGCCCGTTATGTAATGGACAATTATTAGAACAAATACTGTAAAAATTAAATTACAGGTTAGAGAAGTCTTACGAAATCTGAGATTTTGTCACAGTGCTTTGGGCACTTTATCTGAACTATGGTTACGTATTAGGCTTATTATAAACAGCTAAAACAACAAACGCAAGAACTAAAATGTTTATCAATCTTGTCGCTTTAGTACCTCAATTGTTAAAACATGGTCACACATGAGTAAACTTAAGACATGGCAGGATAAAAGCCAGTAGGTTAAAAATATCACATGGTTGTGTGTGCAACTCCAAGGCCACGAAATGCCATTTAATTATGTATGAAGGTTTTCAAGGCATGGAATCAGGAAATCAACATTGTTCAAATCCGTTAAACCAAAAAAAGGTCAAAAACAGAATTACGAACTTAATGACATGGTTGATGTCCAATTAATATCTACAGAGTTATTACAATATTGTGTGTCGTGGACATTATAAATGGCGTTCTTGCACGCAGTGTACATAATAAATGTATCTGTGTATTCTTCCAGTAATTGGTTTCTTTGCATATTATTTATGTACACGTACTCCTAACATTTACCTTTCGATTAACTCGCACAGGAATTCAATACTGACAATTGATTATGAATAAATTTTGGACTCCACCCTCTATTCCAAGCACTAGATTTGAAACAAGCCATGGTTGGTGATTTTGTTTAGCTGTCCACTGTTTATTTCTAACAATTGCTATTCTTAATTTTCAAATGCTTTATGCAATATTGCCTATTGATTTTGGTGTGCAATAGGAATATAATATATTACGGACATTAAGTTTTAATGCTAGTATCAAAGGGAATGTTTAATTTGTGGTGTAGGTTTGCCAGTGATGCTTGAAATGAAATGCTTTTTACATGGCAATGGAGGAATTCTACACAAAAAGGAAAGGTACCCCTTCTACGTGCTACCTGATATGATGAAAACATGTAAAACCTATCAGAACCAGGATGTAACTTGAGCCCAACTGCAGAAACATTTGCAAATGTGCAGTTCTAAAACTTCTAAAAAACTGTTTGCTTTCCTCATTTTTTTATCAGAATACATTCCATCTAGGCGGCTAGAGTGATATCCTTTTAAAAACCAAATTTTGAACAGATATACAAATTGACCTTGAACCATTGCTTCAGATTTGAAAACCTGCCTTTCATTTTCTTTTCAATGCCGAGTTTCTTGGTTGAACTGTAGATGCTCTGTTTCAAGTTCAAAAGGTCAGCCTAGGTTCCTCCCTAGCTGGTGATTATTTCGGCTACAGCAAACACGCTTTTCTGGTTTATCACTGCTCCTACCTCTCTAATCAATAGGTGTCAAATTCACATTTTTTTTTACTTTTATTAAACAGTTCTGGATGCTGGAGTAAATATTTTTTCTTTTTCTTTTTTAACAATTGCATGAATTTTGCATGCTTTTTCGTGCAACAAAGGGATGATAAGAATATTCATTCTGAGCTGATTGCAGATTCTATCAACTGAACGGCAATTAAGATACTATCAGTTCAAAAGCACATTGTTGATTTCATGCTACACTCTGCTTACATTCTAACCACAAAGCCCTATAGAACATTAGCGACCTTATCTAGTGAAGTCCTATACTTCAATCAGCTACAGTGTGTTGGTACAGGAAGCTCCAATTTTTTAAAAGAATTAACAATCAGATTTTAAGATGTGACGGAATTGCTACGGACCACCAATTAATCTTTTTTAAAGTTCTAACTCGTTTGGTGCAACTTAAATTAATTCACAGTAACTCAGACTGTTAAAATGTATGCTGGTTTTCTCTACGTGTTAGGCTATAGAAAGTTCTCCCAGCAGTTTGTACAATTCTGTCCACTATCGTGAATATAGTGTTTTTAAAGCCAACAGTATGGTGCAGTCCAATATGGACATTCAGAATTTGATGGATAACAAAAAAGTGAGTCAGCACAGTGCAATAAATTAAATTTGGGCTTAATTTCAAAGGACGTCCATAATTTTCTCATGAGACTGATTTGAAAAAAAAAAAGGTTGTACTTGCCGACTTGATATTCAGTGTCTCCCTTTTTTATTTATTTTCCTATCGCACATAAATAATCAAATTATATAACACCCCCAACCCATTAATAATCCTGAATACAGTAATAGTGAATCAGACTTTTAAAAAGTACACTTTACATGTAAATTAACCCAACCCTTTTGCTTTATGAGGATGATTTACAAACTTTTTGTATGGAGCAGTTATCCTGTTTTATAACTCAAATTAAACATTTCCTAATCCTGTTTGCTAGCATTTAAAATTCCTCCGCTGAACAAGACTGAATACTTGTCTGTTAATTGATGCAGGCCAAAGTAATTGACAGAACCCATATAATGCTTTATCATGAGAATTTTCTATAGATGATTATTTAATTTCTTGAATTTATTCCCCATAAATAAAATTGACTTTTCAATCACACGGAACTGAGCCTGATATGTCAGCAGTTCATTTTTTTCATTCACTTGTGATAACTTTTGGTTTGTACATTTTGGGACGGATTTATTATGTTCAATGCCAATAAAAATTAAAAACCAACACCTTAGATAATCCAACCTTAATTCTGACTTTAATAATCAGAGGACAACTTGCTGGCTTTCTTTAAGGTCGAAATAATAAAAACTAATCTTGTTAAAGGGTTTAGCACTGATTACAAAATTGTTTATAATTCATTAGTCACAGATGACCTGAGAAGATACTTGGGAATCCATAAGAATTACAGCGCTGTGTTTATGTGTATATTTATCCCAGAGATAGAGGACAACAACAAGCCAATATTTCTCATCAAAACAGAGACCAGGTGATGTTTATCATTTAGTGACCAATCTGTCCTAGCCCTCGTAGGGAAGATATATATCTACAAGATATACACAGTTAAGTAGAGACCAATAGGTCCCAGAGTATATGTCCAACACTTAAAGCAATGCACCTAATCACGCATACCAGGTCACACACCACTGACCGTTTGACGAGATAAATCAGACCCTCGATACATCAAAATTATGACCAATGACCAGTGAACCTTGAATTCACCCCATCCATTAGGGACATGTTACAATTGCACTTCATTGTTTTTTTCTCCTGTAATTGAGCAATGTTATGTTAATTGACATGGGTGATAATTATCTTCTTTGACATTGCACACCTGCATATCAGGATGGTCATCAACAGAGTGAATGTTGTACATGCCGTATCAGGTGACTTTTATCTTGTAGTTGACCTTGGTTCACAAGTGTTAATGTATACACATGTAAGTAAAGCTTAGCAAATGGGGACCCATATTACAGACCCCCCCCCCCAAACTTAAAATCTTCTCACAACATAAATGGTTCAAGGTCATCTAGGTGTTTTAGACCCCTATATGGACACTCGACTATTTAGTTTTGCATGCCTGGCAACAATAAGATTATTTTAATCACAATGTTGAGGCGGCTTTTCTCCTATTTCCATTGTGGGTGATCTATATATATCTATCTATCAAGCTCTGACAAGTTTGTACCTACACTTATTGAGCAACTGAAAGCTGAAGCATAATAGGCTGATGAATGAAGTACAAATGTCAAAACAATCCTTAGAAATTCTCTCTTATCTAAACACTTTCTTCAGACCAATTTAGCTTCTGTTTAGATTAAAGGTTTTTTACGACTCCCCCAAAAAAGTAAAGAACTGGGTCCATAATGATAACGTGGAAAAATCACTGACGTCATTAGAGGAAAAGATTTAATTCTCAATAAATACAAAAAAGCAAGTCTTTCTCTCAAAAGGTAACTAGGTGTCTATAAGGATATAATGCACACAGAATTCGTATGCTAACCCTGTTATTGGGCCTAGTCTGTTATTAGCAGTTGGAATAGAGCGATGAGTCACATTTTCTTCTCTTTATGATACCTTACTTCACATTTATACATTCTTATCTTGAAAACAGGCCAAAGGGTAAAACCTGATATATACTATAATTCTGATTTTATCATTCTCTACATGTATAGTAACTGACTAGCAAATTTTTTCCCCCGTGGTCATATTTTTTATCGATGATATTCGGGGGTCATGCTTAGAGAAATATGACATGGTTTTCATTTTATTTTTCATGTAAATCCGAACCATATTAAAATCCTGCTGGGACACTTTATTGCTTTTTCTCATTTTTTGTAGGCCTTTCAATCTTTATTCATGTAAATCTTGACAGCGTAAACGAGACACAAGTCACATGACTTGACAGAATAAAGTACAAGTAGAGGTTCATTTCTTTTCTTTTCAAATACAATTTCTCACAATCAAAACAGAATTTCAAGATCAAGATATTGAAAACAGGTGCTTGAACCCTGCTCTTTGACTGATATTCCAATGATATGGTCAATATAATTTGTTCTCTTTCAAAAACTCTGTGCATTTTCCACATCTTAACCCACATTTTATAGATCTGTAAATATATAATGCCTATTCAAATACACTTTTTCAGACATTGGACACTGCACCCCATCATACATCTACACTGTCCCCTACTTGACCATCACACAATTCTTTTACTTATCTTTTGGTAAGTATATATATATGTGTTTTACCTTTCCATACTGGGAGAAGTAATTTTTGACATCTTCCACTGTTGTGGCAGCTGACAATCCACCCACAAATATCTTCTTTGTCCTGGTTACCATCTACAAGACAAAATCAAGTCAAATTACAATTCACCATGACTTCTACCAGTACATTTTTTTTCAATTAGTAGGGAAAATCAATAGGACTTTTCGCAGACATTTGAATGATCATTAAGCTCAGACAATCTAATTTCAATTCATCTCTTCCTCTACCTCATGTGCCTACATCAACACCAAAGTTATCTGAGTGTAATTTCACTGACAGAATTTTATTCTGAGCAAGTGTTGTCAAAGGGGGTCCATGTTAGGATTTTGCCTTTTAATCTCTTCTTCCCATTTACAGCACAGGCAAAATTAACATGATTATATCTGGATTTTTTCTTTTCAATGCAAATAATGCAAAAGCCTAATGCTAAATCCTCAAACTTCTTTGTCATATTGTGAAACTTGTGTACCAAAGAAAATCACGATGAAGTCATATATTAAGTATGCAGGGTAAAAATGAGTCAAGACATCCCTGTGACCTATATCTTCATCTAAATTGGTTTCACTGGGCTCAACACTGATACTATAGGCTGGCCCTCTGGGACAGATAGATTTCTGTTTCCTCCTATCACAATGCTTATAGATTATCTGTCTTAACAAGAACTCACTGCAAATTGAACTAGACAAATTAAGATCATTTCATGTCACATGGCGTCATTAACATTTTCTTTGCAGATGATGTTTAACACCTTCACTACAGGAAATGTCTCTGGGGAGACGTGAACTAACTGCTTAGGACCTGGCAAAAGACAGACAGGGGGATTGTCTGTAAAGTGAAGCAAGGGTTACAGGACTGTCTTAATGGACCCTTCACTCCCTCTCTCTTTCTCTTTTGAAGCAATTATTGGAAGCAGCCAATAATCTCTTCTCCTAGACCTTATTCATTATACTCAGTATAAACTGTATCATCAGCAATGTGTTAAATACTATATAAAGTGCCTAATAGATTAATAAATTATGAAGTTTCACATTTGCACTCAAGTTTCTTGTCATTTTATGCACACATATTGGCAAACAAATTAAACAACAATACATGTATACATCCCCCCTGAGCTGAAGCAGGCTTTTGTAATATCGATTACAAGTTTTACTTTCCTCATCTATACATGTCTCGGGGATCAAATTTATGGCCATGTATGCACCTTAGATCTGTAACTCTTCACTTATCATTAGATTGATCACAATGTGCTTTTTATTTCACTCTTACTGGCATTACATCAGATTGTATTAAACTTGGTGAATAATGGCACCTTCTGATTTAGATTTATTATTGGATTTTAATACAATCATTCATTTTGCTTTAAAATGATTTAACTGCCCAAATTCTGTTAAATGTACTATGAAAACAGACAAGTATGTAACCATAGTTCTACACTATTAAAATAGTCCCACTGTTTTAGATTGGAAGTGAAACAAGGTTTACGTAAAAGAAATTCACAAACTTTTAAATTTTAAAATGACAGAAGTCAGTAGTATGACTTCCAGCCATCTGTGTTAACAATCAATTTTCTTTATTGCAGTCTTTAACTGTTAATAACTTGTGAAGTCTCCCTAGGAATTCAATAGCTTTTACATGGCTAACAATCGCTCAATTGTCAGAAGATTTAAAATGAGAAATAAAATTCATTGCTCTTTGTAAAAGGGTTTAAACATTTAGTTTTTCCTGAGAGAATATATCCTCCGCAGCAAAAATCTGTCATTGAAGTCCTCTTCCCATTGACTTTTATTTTTCAGACACAAATATTTTTGACAAATTGATCGATCTCCTTGGACGGTCTAAAACTCTGATTGATGTTCTCGCATTACAGATCTCAGTCCAAAAGCATTCATGTTCAAAAATAGGATGTAATTATTTTTCATGAAAATGTTAAATGATTAAAATGTCAAAGATTCAACTATTACATTTTATATGCTCTGCATAGAAATGCATCAATTCAAACCCTGGAGTTAAAATGATTGTTGGCGTATAAAGCCTTGTCATCTTATTTACACAGGAATTCTATAGATAAATATATACTAATGTTTAAATTATAATCCTATTTATCTTCTCACACCCCATACACTGTTAGTTCAGCAATTTTAATATATAACTCTTTTCTATAACCACCATTAGAAGTCTCTCCTGTATAAAATGTCACATGTTGCCTTCAAGTCTGTGACACTTTAAGTCTTAGGCACCAGTCTTTTCTAGCATTTTCTGCTTGAACTACAAAGTTACTGTGTCTTTGTATAAAGACTTTCCGACATTTTAGCCTAATTTTGTCATTTAAACAGATAAACTGAAAGGGTTTTTTACTATGTTATATTCATTGTATTCTTCACAGATAACCCATCGCTGAGGGCCAGAAAGGGTGGACAAAACCCAATGAGCTTTTGACAGACACACAATTACCCTGCAAGGGCTCCATAAATGCTAGCTAAGATTTCTTCAAGTAAAAATAGACCAGGAATGACACATGTGAGAAATCCCTCACACAGGCCACCTTCTTGTTCCCCCCTGTCTCAGCCTAATCCTATTCTATCCATTTTTTGGTACATCATAACCAGACAATGTCTCCTTTACCCTCCACATAATTCATCATAATCCACTATCTACCTGAGTAAAACACCCTGGTCAGGCTACAGGCAAACTCAACATGTTCCATGTCACTTTTACATGAAGACTCAGACTAAACCCAGGTTAATCCTATAAACATTGAAATTTCTCCAAACAAGTGGATGTCTAGCAGCTGTCTATGTAATGTCTACCCCATCTGAATACTAATCTCTGATACTAATCTACCTGATATTAATCACAGAGAGCTTGGCACTGTCCTGTAAACAATGCATCCCACAGACTCAATGTTTTCAATAACCTTTTTATAACCTTATAAACCAGAAAGCCAAAGCTCTCCTGCCAGAAAGCCATGATTTTTTCGTAGACTAAATGAAAAAAAAAGAGTGCTCAAGAAACATTTGGAAGGTATAAATATAAACTCTGAGAAATAGTTTTTTCCAGCAATGCTATTGCATGCTGTTCATTGCTGGGGTTTCCCCTTGGGTGTACTAGAGCTCCTTGCGTAGTATCTGAGACTGAATGTTTCCTTATCTACCCAATCTTTTTTTTTTCTCCACAGATACAGTAATATTTGATGAAGATTTTCTGCTTGCAGTCCTAATATCAGGTCCAAACCACAGATGTAAGCCATGCTTTCCTACTACAGACCTCCTCAATTATTTCAGACCAAGTAGACATACATCTACACATCACAGTCACTGTAATTAAATAAGCTTTACTGCAGTCACTATCTTTAGTTCCTTCTGTGGCATTTTAAGTCTCCGTAAGTAAAGTTAATTACACACACACCTAACTTTCTTCACCAAGGTATTACTAAGAGAGACTTGCAGAATTGTGACATTTGCTATTATCCATAGGGAACTTTTGAAACTCTAATTACACTCCCCCTTTTCAATGCACTTCATGGCCCTATTCTATACTTAACTAATACAATTAGTTCTGCCCAAAAAACACAAATGTTGCCCAAAAAATTTGGGGAAAAATTAGATATATTTGGAACATGCATACGCAAGGAAAGCTCACAAGAGGTAGAAAACACTTCAGCTTTTTACAGACCAATAACAATGTCAAAGATACAAGGAACTACACGGGAATACACATAATAGTATAGCAATTAATTCTTTTAGTGATAAACTGATGGCCTCTGGGGACCAGTAAAGTGTGAACTCATTTGTTTTGACCACCCCCTGAGGATAACTTACCTGTCCAGCTCCTGTTAACTGACCGACAGTTAGCCGCTGCATTCTAGAAGCAATGAAACCGACTGATCTAAACAGAAGACTCCTCTGGACTAACACAGTTCTCCAAAAGGGGACCACCTAGCTTCTTGTGCAAATATGAGAACAAAAGGGAGGAGAGAAACATGTCACTAAGCTTTGTCAGGCCTACAAGAATGTTGTAATTGGCAGAAAATTTACCACTGCGAAATAGTTCAGCCAAATTAGCAGCACAGCATTGTTTAAGTTCAACAAATATATGTATGCAAATTATCTCTCACTTTTAACTCTGACACTGAAAGGCTATTTTCACTAGTAATGAGAAGTTTAAACTGATTTTGGGTTGTTGTAAGTTGACAGTCCCAGACGAAACTTTGGCCTTGTAACTCTTAAGATGACAACTCTGCAGTACAAACAAGCCTTTATTTCACACAAAGCACAAACCATAAATGCTAATTTTAGAGTCAAATATCAATATAGTTTCATCATGAATTACCACCTCTGTCAATAACCACATAACAATCAATCTAAGCAAACACAGATATTCTGCTTTTCCATTCTGGATGGGGAAAAACATGGCCCCTTCATGAATATGCAAGAATTGTCTCCCTTTGGCACATTCCCTCCTCCTTCAAGCAGAATGTTCAGACCTGCCCTAACTAGATTGTCTTCCTAACCATAAAAACATTCTGTTTATCTTTGTAAAAAATATTTACCAATTAAACAATAGTTTATGGACAGATATTTGTACATTTCTAACAAGAGGAATTACTAAACAAAGGATGAAAGAGGTTGACAACAAATGTAAACTGAAGGTCCAAGTTATTGGTTGTACCAGAGCAAATACTGGAGACTTACAATGTCGATCAGTTGTAAAGGTGATATTGATTCAGAAAATTTCTCTTTGACAGAGGGTAAATATGCCCCAGTGTTTGTTTGCTAGCCACATAATAATTTATGAAAACCTTGCAATAGCCAATGTTGACGCTCTCTCCTACAAGATCAAACATGGTTAGTGACAGACTTTAAATCTGACAATGGGCTCTGAGAGTCTGGTGCCTGGTTCTGCGGTTTACTATGGTTACCTTACATCACCAAAGATCACATGACTCTACCAGTCTCTAAACATTAGGCTCATTCTAACACCTTTTCTCCCTCTTAAGACACTATATATTTTTCCAACTCTCATCTATGTGACAATTTTCTCATGCTGTAAATCATACCAAGCACGTTGTACTTTCTAAATGTAGGGTCAAATTATATATACACTTGATTGGGGAATACAAGAGTTTACGCCACAAAAAAATTACAGCTGGTGTTAGTCACCTTGTCAACAAACCTCCTCCCAAACTTCCTGACAAATTCTTTAATTTTCTACAGTAAAATGTTTACCTTGGTATTTTTGCTCTGGTGTGCCTCTGATAAAACTT